TAGATTCTTTTATATATACATACATACATATATATATATATATATATATATTCACACATACATAGATACACACACACACATGTATGTATGTGGGAGTGCCGTGGCACGATCATGGTTCATGGTAGCCTCGATCTCCTGGGCTCAAGTGGTCCTCCCATCTCAGCTTCCCGAGTAGCTGGGACTACAGATGCATAACACCATGCCTAATTATTTTTCTATTTTGTGTAGAAACAAGGTCATGCTTTGTTGCTTAGGCTGGTCTTGAATTCACGGCCTTAAGCGATCCTCCTGCCTCATTCTCCCAAAGCGCTGGGATTATAGGCGTGGGCCACCGTGCTGGCTGGCCTCTTAGATTCTTCAGGTTTAAGTCTGTTTTCCCAGAGAAGCTGGAAAACATCAGGTGCCTACCACTTAAATAGAAGAATCTTGTACAAAGAAACTACACAGGAAGCCTTCCCTCCTCTAGGATGAAAAGCCCTTTAGCCTTCCCACAAAAAGCTGTTGACATTTTCCTGTTATGTTACATGTTTTCTCATCATTGAAAACAAGTAAACAAGCCACAAAACAGAACATTTGAATAAGGATCTTTCCAGTCTCCAAGAGTAAACTGGAAAGCAGCAAAGCAAACCAAAACAGTGAGAGCACAGATAAAGCTAACACTGGACAGAGCTAGAGTTTTTGATTTGTTTTTTTTTTTAAACTAACTTTTTATTGTAGAAAATTTTAAACATACACAAAAGCAGAGAATCTAATGAACCCTATGCACCCATCATCCTGTTTAATAATGATAAACTCATGGCCAAACCTAGCTTATCTATACCCTACTTGTTCACTCATCCCCCACTCCTTCAGTATAATTTTGAAGCAAATCCCAGATTACAAATAATTTCATTTATAAATATTTGTTTGTATCTGCAAAAGATAAAGACTCTTGAAACTAATGCAACATACCAGAATCACACCTAAAAACACAAATAACAATGAGAAATCCTAGATTTGACTCCTGATGCTGTCACTTACCAGATGTGTGACTTTGACTAGTATAGAGTAAAAAGCCCCTAAAACCCAGGAAGAATTTTATTAGCAAATACCTAGACCTCACCCTGTTTTAACTATGATGCCACACGCCCTGCTCAAGCTATTCTTCCCATATTGATCCTGATGTCCTGACGGAATTGCACACTCACTTTTTGTTGTGTTCTTCACCCACAACTTCAGCAGATGGGATTTTGTTTCTCATCGATGCTCTACGTTACTAAGGATATTTGGAGTCCATCTTCTCAGGAGACATTAGCATGTTGTAAAGACACAGAGCATGAACTGTTATTTAGTTTAAGGAGAGATGGCAGGGACTGCTGCCTTAGCCTGTTACTGGACATGAAGGGCAGCAGAGTTTCCGGGGCTGGGTGGATGATTCCATTTGCAGTGATGTAGTGGCCACAGATACAGACACGTTTTCTAACTGTGGTCTGTGGGAAGGCCATGTGGCCTCTGGGGACTGGAGATGTGACACACAGACCCTCTGTATTCTTTATCTTTGTCTCAAAGTCAGGGAAGACACTGAGGAATAAAAGGCCTTTTACGTTCTTGGCTACCACATTGCAACTGGAATCTGACCTTGAATTCAAGAATAAACACAAGAAATTCCACACAACAGCAGCTTCAGCTTAGGTGCTGAACACTCCTCTTTGCTACTGTTTCCCTTTTCCACATTCCCTGCCCTGACACAGACACCCACGGGGACAGAGGGTGTTTTCATGCTTGTGGTATTACCATAGCAACAATTTCTCCTCTACCTGGAAGGCTGGAAACCCTGCAGAGCTCTGTGCTGAGAATGCAAAGAGGGAACACTATCACTCTGCACTTCAGCACACACCACAAGTCGCACGCGTGTACTTACACACAGCCTGTTCTCAAGGACATCACAATGAGATCATTAAAACAAATCAGGATGCTGACGTCTCACAACACACAATCAGTGTAATGACAAAAACAAGGTAAAATATTTTTTATAAAAAGATATTTTGTAGGTATCAATTCTTGAGGGATTTTTAATGTGAAATTTCTAACATGCAACTCTCCTTTGATGACACCACAGGCACAGAAAAAAGTCATTAAATTATTTTAGTAAAATATTCAAAGGAACTAAATAGGTGATGCGTGGTTTCTAGAAAGAGAGCCACTCCAAGCTTCCGATCCCCACAGGCTGTGACAAGCCTGAGAAACAATGACTAACTAGTACACAAAATCACGTGAAAAGAGTCACTTTATTTTAATAAAGTACCCATACAAACTTGTTAAAAATCCACAGAGAATCTTTTTGCGTGACTACTTTCAGAGACCAAAAACAACAACAAAGAGACAAGTAGGTATGTCCTTCCACTACAAGGACGGTACAAGGTGCACAGCCCCGGCTTCCAAGCCTGCCTGCTGCTGTGGGTCGGCAGGATGACCAGTGCCCTCCTAGGAGGACAAAAAAACCATGCCCAATGCACCATGAAGATAAATCCTGGATTTCCATCTCCACATTTTGACGAATTCAAAGTTCTCTAGCACAGCAATCACTGTCTTTGTTTCTTGGCCCTTCCTATACTCATTTCTTTTGAATGTCATCCCTGAGATTTCAACCCTTCTGGGTAGGGATAAGAATCAACACAAAACCTCAGAGGAGGAGCAGAGCAATGCTGTGGACAGAGTGCAGACAACTCTCTGTCTTGTTCTGGCAACAGCAAGTGGGAGCAAACCCACGACAGCCTCCTCTAGCACATGGCTTTCTCCAGATTGCATAGGGCCTTTCTCTGAACTTGAACAATGTGGAACTTGAACAACATGGACTAAAGGAGAGCTATCATTTCTTATAGAATGTACTGGTCAGCAAAAAAAATCAGCTGGAAAAATCTATCCCCTTTACATGGCAGAACACTGGGGAGCTGGTGGAAATGAGCTGATTGGTGAGTGATGAGTCATCTTCTGCTCCTCTATGGGATTTTCCACCTGCCCCACTTTAGGGGAACTCCATGCTCTTGTGGCAGCAGGTTCACAAAACTGGAGGCAGTTCCTCCTTTCTAGGATCTCCATTCATCACCTAAGTCCACACATCTGCACACACTGTCCTCACTGGGTGGCTACTACTTCGTGACACAAAGTGCCAGGCACTGAACTTGGCACTTCACCCATGCTGTTTCTATTGGTTTTGCACAAAAGCTCTACAAGGTAGATGCAACCATTCTCATTGTACAGGGAAAGGAAATGTGGCTTGGGGAGATCAAGTATTCACCTAGGTCACAAAGCTAGCGAGCAGAGAGCTAGGATTAAAGCATAAGTGGGTTTAATGTCAAAAACCTTTATATTAACCACTGAGCTATACGGTTCCCCTCACTGTGATGCAGCCACAGCCATGCATTTCACTGCCATTCAATGGCCTCACCGCACCCAGTACTGTGTAGAGCTGTACATCAATGAACACTTCTCACGTAAGGGCTTCAAAATAACTCTTGAAACAGACAACATACTATGAAAGCCCAGCAAAAAGACGTGTTCCAAACAATGCCGACAAAGGAGAAACACAATGCCTCTTCATATGACTGGTCTCCTGAGGAGGAAACACTAACAAATGAAGGCAGCTCACGACCAGAAGGCAGCACCAGGATGTTGTCTGGGACAAGGAAGAGTCAGGCCCATTTGCTAGGGATCAGGGAGGTTGGCAACATCTGAGGCCCCAGGTCACTGTCGGGTCCTCAGAGCCCACAATGACTCTAGACTTCTTTGGTTCTGAAATGCAGGTGGGTGTGGGGTCTACCACCTGCTGCGGGGGCGTGTCAGCAATTGCCTGTGTGAGTTTTGGGGGGAGAAACCTGAGGGGCTGCAGCAGCCCTACAGAGGGAGTAAGGATGGCAGCATGGCCTATGTCCGCTCAGAGCCCCCAGGCTCCTCCAAGGTAGGCCAAGGGGAGAAGCAGGTGCTTCTACTATCAGCGTCTGACATGAGGGATAAAGGAGCTAAAATGCAGGGGGGAAAACTATTTCTGTAGGACCAAGCAGAAACAAAAACAAAATGTTTATTCATACTGGCATTTCAGCTTAATGCATATGTATTTTTACCTTTCCCTATTTTGGGTTGTCAGCTCTCTCCTTCTGAATAATCACTGAAACAACAGCAAGCATGGTATTTGACTCTTAATGGGAAGGCAGGGTGGGAAGAGAGGCAAGCAACATTTGCCTTTTATTATTTTCTTTTTTTTTTTTTAATAATTCACACAAACACATCTACCCTGTGTTTACTGTGCTTCAATAGCAGATAAGGGAAGAGGATGTGCTTGTATGTGTAATGAACCAAAATCTTCCCAGGATCAAGAAGTCTGTGATGAACAGATTCACTATGCTGTTTACAATGAGAAATTTTAAAAAGTGAAAACTGACAAAAATACTCAGACACAAGCATAGTTAAAATCCTGAAGCCTCTGGCCGGGCACAGTGGCTCACACCTGTAATCCCAGCACTTTGGGAGGCCGAGGCAGGCAGAGCATGAGGTCAGGAGCTCAAGACCAGCCTGGCCAATATGGTGAAACCTTGTCTCTACTAACATAAAAATTACCCGGGTGTGGTGGCATGCCTGTAGTCCGAGCTAGTCAGGAGGCTGAGGCAGGAGAATAGCTTGAACCTGGGAGGCAGAGATTGCAATGAGCTGCAATCGTGCCACTGCACTCCAGCCTGGGTGACAGAACAAGACTCCATCTAAAAAAAAAGAAAAAAATCCTGAAGCCTTCATTAACCAAAATCTTCCCAGGATCAAGAAACCTGTGATGAACAGATTCACTATGCTGTTCACAATAAGGAATTTTAAAAAGTGAAAAGTGACAAAAATACTCAGACACAAGCAGAGTTAAAATCCTGAAGCCTCCTTGCTGTGATGCCAGCCTTGCTCAGTGCTTGACAGAAGGGGGCTCACAGAGATGGTGTCTGTGACCCACTCTGAGGCTGCTTCGGGGCAGGGAGGCTTCCCTTTGGGTTCTTGGCTCTGCCATTTACCATTACCTGACTTTTAAGCTAGTATCTACTTTGTAGGGCTGCTGTGGGGACCAATGTGAGCTGAGAGCTCTGCCAGGCACCCTATAAGATATACCCATAAGAGAGCATCCTTCTGTGGCCTGAATTTGAAGCTCTTCAGAGGGACCCATGCTGGGCTCTGAAGGAAGTGACTCACCTTGGAGGAGCAAGGGCGGGTCACATTCCACAATGAGGAAATCTCACACCACCTTCCTTCACATTTGACTCACATTATGCAGCATGGACTTCCACTCCAGTAAATGAGTCCTCTTTGTGGGCTTAAAAATCTTTTTGTTGGCCGGGCGCAGTGGCTCAAGCCTGTAATCCTAGCACTTTGGGAGGCCGAGGTGGGTGGATCATGAGGTCAAGAGATCAAGACCATCCTGGTCAACATGGTGAAACCCCATCTCTACTAAAACTACAAAAACATTAGCTGGGCATGGTGGTGCGTGCCTGTAATCCCAGCTACTCAGGAGGCTGAGGCAGGAGAATTGCCTGAACCCAAGAGGCGGAGGTTGCGGTGAGCCGAGATCGGGCCATTGCACTCCAGCCTGGGTAACATGAGTAAAACGGCCTCAAAAAAAAAAAAAAAAAAAAAAAAATCTTTTTGTTACCCAGACATTTGGTTCTTGTCAATGCTACTTCCTGAATAAAGGTCTTCCCTGATAGTAGGAACAAGCGGCCCAAGCTTCATTCATCTCTTGATAAATGTGAAGGTCTGTGCTCAGCACCGGAGTCAGCTGACTGGCTGGGCCCCAAATTAGACTGCTGTTAATAAGTGCCAACCACCCGCCATCACAGCTGGAGCGGCCCTGGCACTGATAGCTGGTGCATGCTCATTTACATTCTCTTCACGCAGCCATGCAGCTACTGTAGGCGGCTGCAGATGCCTGTTTTTTAACCAACAAACTGGTTCACTGCAGATGTGAATTTTGGTTGTATTTCACGGCTGTAAAGTTAACAACAAATGCTACAAAGAACAGGATGGGGCCTGGAAAGGGCAGAAAAAGATAAGCAGGGTAGAGAGCTGGCAGGTCAGCTAAATAAAATAAATAAATAAATAAAATAAATACAAGTGACATTGGGAAAAGATGAGTGGTTACACAATCACACACACATTTGCAGTTTCTATGAAAAGACTCTACACCAGATGCTGCTCTTCAGTTACTCTGATTAAACTCTCACCACCTGATGGTCTCTCATCCTTAGCACTTGCTTTGTGAGTGTGCCTAAACCTCCACCTCGTGGCGCTAAGTTTCCGGAAAGCTTGGCTTACATAACCTCTGCATTTATAAAGCAAAGTTATGGCTGTAGCAAGGCAGAAAAGACTCAACAGTGAAACTTCTGACCCTAAGAACACATATACCAGAAGCATCACTTTCAAATCTTCTTTTATGTAACACTCTTCAGTTCCACATCAAATATACCCAATTCATTCCTAAAAGCAGCACGCTGGAAAACAAACTAATGAATTCTTTATCTGACAACACACAAGGGAGCTGAGAGCCTTGACAAAAGCATTCCATCACATCAATGAAACAAAGACTCTCTCCATTTCATCAAAGATATATGTCTTGTTCTTCAGGGATTCCAGGGGAATGATTCCAGGCATTCAAGTCCTCCTCCAGATAGCGCATTAATATAAACGACTCACTTCAAGAGCTACAAGTTCCTGAAAAGCCAACTGGAATTTATATTACTGGCAAAGACACTGCAATGAGAAAGCAGGTGTCCTTAGTCTCACACGGGTCAAAATTAGCTTGTTGCTCATTTCTTAAACATTGGGAATCCTCAAGGATTAGCGACTGCTTTAGCCATCTTGCTAGAAAGAATGGCATAAGGAGAACTTGCACAATTGAGAAAGGTAAAAGCATATGCATATGTGCTACTGACATGGACATTTTAGATGTTAAAGTCTAAATGCATGTAGCGGTTTGCTTTAGTACTGAGCCTGAAAGAACTGTGTCAATTCTGCTTACAAAACAGTGTTTTGCTGACACATACTTTTGAAACCCCCAAGAGAAAAACCCTTTCCTCATGGAGCGTTAGTGCCACCTAGTGGCAACTCGTTCCACTGCCCTCAAATAAGGACAACATTTAGGCATAAGCTCTCCTTTCCCACCCATAGGACAAGGTGGGGATTTCTCTCATTCCACTGATGGGTCACTGAGCCAGCTCCACCAGGCTGTCACTCACTGCCTCAGGTCCCCATGCAGTAACAGTTTTCACTTTATTTTCCATGATGGGCCAACACCTACAATTCTTACCTTAACATTAGAAACGAAAATGTGAATGCTATTATCTGTAGGTCAAAGTCAAGTTCTGAAGCATACTGTAATCGATCATGTAATCATAAGACATTCTCTTCACTGCAAAATGTTGCTCAGGGGCATAAAAAGATGCGAATAAATGAAAACACATACTTTGAACTTAGTGGCCTAACATTTCTAAGCTAATAATCTCCCTGATGGGCACCTTGCCTCCACCTCTTTGCTCCCTTTGCTGCTCATTTCAGACTCCAAAATCTTTTTCCAGCCTAGGTCTCTCCCTGTGTTACTGATCCTAGTCACTGATCTAGGGTCACAGATCTTATTAAGTGCCAGGCATTGTGAAAACACGTACACTCTGGCTGTCTCCCCTAAAAGCTCAACATGTCCAAAACAATCTTCTCAATCTTTTTGATTCCATTTCCAATTTTGCAAACAGCATCATCAACTACATAGTGGCCCAACACAAGACAAGCCTGTGAGTCCTCTGGTCTTCTCCCCACCTTCACATGCAGCACATCACCTTCTAACTCTCTACCTCTCAAATCTGTTCCTGTTCTCCACCTCCATCGTCAGTTATGGTCCTTATAAGCTTTATCTGTCAAGATACGCTAGGTTATGCTGCTAAAACAAACTCAAACCTCAGTAGCTCAAAAGAGAGACTTTGTTCTCACTCATGTTGCATATCCCTTTTGGTAGAGGGAAAAGAAAACAAACTATATGCCTATATGCCCTTTAAAAAAACACTGTGGTAAAAACACATAACACAAAATCCACCCAATTAACACATTTTTAAGTGTACAGTGTCATTAACTATTAGCAGACTGTTGTACAGCTGGTCTCTAAACAACTTCATCTTGCATGACCGAAACTCCCTACTGCATGGTGACTTCCAACTTCGCTTTCATCCAGCCTTTGGCACCCATGGTTCTACTTTGTGCTTCTATGAGTCTGATTACTTTAGATCCTGCGTTTAAGTGGAATCGTGTAGTATTTGTCCTTCTGTGACTGACTAATTGCATTGAGCACAACGTCCTCAAGGTTCATCTGTGTTCTGGTATGTGCCAGGATTTCCTTCTTTTCAAAGGCTGCATAGTATACCATATTTTAACCATTCATCTGTTGACAAACATGTAAGTTATTTCCATCTTGTGGCTACCATGAACAACGCTGCAAAGAACACGGGAACATGCTCTCTGAGATCCTTTCTCAAAGTATTTCAATTCCTTTCCATAGGGGCCTTTTCACTTTGTTGATGGTTTCTTGGCTGAAAGCGTCTTAGTAGTCTCACTTGCCTAATTTTTGCTTTTGTCACCTTGTTTTTGGTATCATACGCAGGAAACCATTGCCAAGATCGATGTCATGAAGCTTTCCACCTATGTTTTCTTCTAGTTTTCATAGTTTCAGGTCTTACACTTAAGTCTTAGTCTTTAATCCATTTAAAGAGTTGATTTTTGTGTTATGGTACATATAAGATATGGTATGAGGATCTAATTTCATTTTTTTGCATGTGGGTATTTGGTTTACCAAGCACCATTAATCAGAGACTACCTTTTCTGCCAGTGTGCATTCTTTGCACCCTTGTTGATCAGCTGATCATAAATGTGTGGATTTACTTTTGAGGACTGTATTATGTTCCATTGGTCTACATATCTGCCTGTTTCTGTTACTGTAGCTTTATAATATGTTTTGAAGTCAGGAAGCATGAGGCCTCCAGCTTTGATCTTCTTACTCAAGACTGTCTAGGCTATTTGGGATCCTTTGTGGTTCCACATGCATTTTAGGGATGTCTTTCCATTTATTTATATCTTAATTATTTCAGCAATTTTTTGTAATTTTCCATGTGTGAGTCTTTCTCCACTCCTTGGCTGTTTCTAAGTATTCTTTTTAAGATGGACTATAAATTAGATTTTCTAAATTTCTCTTTTTTGGAGTGTTTGCTAGTGTATAGAAATGCAACTTGCTTTTATATGCAGATTTTGTATCCTGTACCTTTGCTGAATTTATTAGTTCTAACAATTTTTTGTGCGTGTAAGATCATGTTATCTGTGAAACGCATGGATATGTATGCTTTTGCTTTTTCCTGCCAATTGCTCTAGCTAGAGCTTCCAGTGTTATGTAGCACCCAAGTGGTGAAAGTGGGTATCCTTACCTTGCTCCTGATCTTAGTGAAAAAAAACTTTTCTTTGAGACAGTCTCACGTGTGTGTGTGTGTGTGTGTGTGTCTATGTATTTGAGACAGTCTCACTGTGTTGCCCGGGCTGGAGTGCAGTGGCACAATCTTGGCTCACTGCAATCTCTGCTTCCTGGGTTCAAGTGATTCTCCTGCCTCAGCCTCCCAAGTAGCTGGGATTATAGGCATACACAACTAGACCCAGCTAATTATTGTATTTTTAGTAGAGAGATAGTTTCCCCATGTTGGCCAGGCTGGTCTGGAACTCCTGACTTCAGGTGACCCGCCCGCCTCGGCCTCCCATAGTGCTGGGATTCCAGGCGGGAGCCACCATGCCCGAACAGAGTGTTCTTTATTCTCTTATTTTGTGAATTTTCTTGCTGTTTGTGATTTCTAAGTTCATTCTTCCTGTGAATTTTCTTGCTGTTTGTGATTTCTAAGTTCATTCCCTTGTGGCTGGAAATGATACTTAATATGATTTTGATCTTAAATTTGTTAAGACTTGTATTATGATTTAATATTCTCTATTCTGAAAATGTTCCATGTGCACTAGAAGAGAAAAAGTGTTTTCTGTTCCTATTGGCTAGAATGTTTTTTGTGTTTGTTAGGCCTATAGTGTTGTTCAAGTCAGCAGTTTCCTTACTAAACTGTCTGGTGATGCTAACAATGATTGAAAATGAGGTTTTGTAATCTCTTACTATTTTTATGTTGGTATTTTCCCCTTCAGATACCAGTATTTGCTTCACATATTTGGATGCACTGATGTTGGGTGCACATACAGATGGTCTCCAACTTACAATGCTTTAACTTATTATTTTGAGTTCACTGTGGTGTGAAAGTGATATACATTCGGTAGAAACTGTAATTCAAGCACCCATACAATAATTCTTTTTCACTTTCAGTATAGTATTCAACAAATTACATGAGATACTCATACTTTATTCTAAAATAGGCTTTGTGCAAGAAGATTTTGCTAAACTATAGGCCAATGTAAGTGCTCAGGCTTTTTTTTTTTTTTTTTTTTTGGCCTCAGCAGCTCCCAGACATCTAGAGTAGGTTGGGTTCTGCCAGCACTGAATTGGGTGAGACAGATGCCAGTCCCTCAGGCAGCCCCTTGAGAAGCCTAAAAGCTGGACACATGCTCTACTCTTCCCTTCCTCTGGACCCAAGAAGCAGCCTTCGAGGTGCACTGGACTCTGCCTACTGTACCATGGGGTCCTCTGGAGCAGTACAAGCTGTCCAGCTTTCTCTTGTTCTCAGCAGCCCCCAGGGACTTAGACCATACCAGGTCCCAGCACTGCTCCATCAAGTGAGACGGAAACCAGAGTCTTGGGCGGGCTCCAGAAAACCTAGAATGCTGGACTCACGCTCCAACTCCTTCCCTCCTGAGAGAAGCAGAGAGATGGGAATTTTCTTCCGCTTGTTCTGCGCTGAGCTGGGAGAGGGCAATAAGGAGTTAGTATGTACTAGTTCCACCATCCCATTTGTCCTCAGTGGCCCCCAACTGGTGCCCTTTCCTGTGAGACAAGACAGAAACCAGTTCCTTGAGTACCCTCCTGAAAGGTCAGAATATTAGATGTAAGTTCCAGTCTTCTTTTCCCTTCGCAGGGAGACGCCAGGAGTTGGGAGTTTCCTCCCAATCATATATATGGTGCTGTGCCAAGGGGAGGAACTCAGGAGAGCCAGCATCACAAATTCTTCAGCCTTTGATGCAACTGGTTTCTAAATTTCCCACAGAGAGAAATGGTCCTTACACTGTTGTTGAACTGGTATTTCTATGGGAAAAGGAGGGTCTGTCATTTTGACATTACTCCCTACCACATGCCTTTATGGCTTTTTCTGCAAGTGATCTATTTAGTTACGTTTCATGGGCCAAAAGAAGCTACACGGCCACCTCCAAGTTCAGCGGGGCATGTATATTCCTCCCACAGATAGAAATGACAATATGTGTGGTGTTCCTATCTGGGATCCTAAGGGCCCCTGGCAAGCTCCCACCAACACTCCAAGTTGACACTCTTATAACACTCACTAGATGCTGTTCCAGACTCATGTGTGCCCTCAGGCTTTTATTTTTAATCTTTTCTTTTAAAGACAGGGTCTTACTCAGTCACCCAGGCTGGACTGCAGTGGCACAATCATGGCTCACTGCAACCTCAACCTCCTGGGCTCGAGCAATTCTCCTGCCTCAGTCTCTCAGGTAGCTAGGACTATGTGCACACACCACCATGCCCAGCTGAGTTAAAAAAATTTTTTTTTGTAGAGCTAGAGTCTCACTATGTTGCTCAGGCTGGTCTTGAACTCCTGGTCTCAAGAGAGCCTCCTGCCTCAGCCTCTTAAAGTGCTAGGATTACAGGCGTGAGCCACCGGGCAAGGAATGCAGGCTGCTTTTAAATGTCTTCAGGCCAGGCATGGTGGCTCATGCCTGTAATCCTAGCACTTTGGGAGGCTGAGGTGGGCAGATCATTTGAGGTCAGGAGTTCAGGACCAGCCTGGCCAACATGGTGAAATCTCGTCTCTACTAAAAATATAAAAATTAGCTAGGTGTGGTGGCACATGCCTTTGATCCCAGCTACTTGGAAGGCTGAAGCAGGAGAATTGCTTGAACCCAGAAGGTGGAGGTTGCAGTAAGCTGATACTGTGCCATTATACTCCAATCTGGGTGACGGTGTGACACCCTATTTCAGGGAAAAAAAAAAAAATTCTTCAGAGAATAATGGTCTCTTCTCTTCTTTGGCCCTCCTAATTGTACATAAGCACTTTCACTTGTCCAAATATCTGCCATCTTATTTGAAACCTTACCAGAAAATGTAGTTCACAGCTCCTTCTAAGCAAATCATGAAGACCTAAGTAGCCACGCAGTACTGTACATTTCTCACCTGGACTACTCGATAGCCAAGTAGACTCTTATGATATTTTACCTCTCCCCACCTCAGGAGAGAGCATTCAAGACTCTGCATGAGCCTGCCCCTACCCAGCTTATAAGCCTCCTTGACACTGCTAGCACCAGTAAGCATCCATGCTGCTGCCACTCCTGGGGCCGAGAACATTTCTCCATCTCCACTCCACCTCTACCCTTTCCATCCTTTGGCAACTTCCCCCTTATCCGCTGTGTCCTAGCATAGGCATCACCTCCCCAGGCAGTCCAGTAGCCGACCCACTGGAAGCATACAAGGGACAGCCTAGCATTCTGCTTTCTTAGAGTTGAAAGATACCAGTGACTGTTGGGATAACTGTTATAGCAACAGCCTGGGGTGTGAACATACAAAATGGCTAGAAATATTAATGCTGAAAAAAAAGAAATTAAAGCTTTGATTTATTAGTTTAGTTTCTTCTTCCTTTTCTAGTCTCTACGTTAATTTTTTTACTCTCCTCAAGGCAAAGCTATTGCATTGTTCAACTCTAATCATGTAATTTTAGAAAAATGGCTTAAAACATATTTGTCTAGGTGGATGTTAATATTCACTAAAAACTCTAAGTGGCTTCTAAATAGTTGACAAATTTTAAGACATTCTTAGTTCACAGAGTGGGAGCCAAGTTAAAGGGAAGAAAGACCTGTAACAGTAATGTGCCTAGATAGCTCTGTTCTTACCTGATATTGTCAGTTCTTATGAGAAGAAACAGTCAAATAAATAACCTACCAGATGTGATGGAGATGCCACTAAGATGCCCAGTTCTTTAATCAAAGAAGTGTTGCTTGGACATTGAAAACGGCAAAAGGGGTAGGTGTGTGTGTGTGTGGGGGGGGAGTAGGGGTATTTGAGCACAGGTAGCGAAAAGAGCAAGAAAAATGTTGACACAGTGGGGAACAAAACTAAACACTTCCACTTTACATTATAGCATCTGTCCTTATAAGAGATACGAAACAGGAATCCACAGCTTTGTAACTGGAGTGCCACGAGTGGCTCCCATCATCTCAGTAACCATGTCAACCGTTACTTACAAAGTATACATCTTCATTTGCTTATGAAAAGGAAAGCACTCAAATCCTTATACATCAGCAGTCAGATAAACAGCAGATATTTGGGTTATCAGGGCAGCCCATAACACCATAATTCAATATACACCTAGAAAAAAATTTGCCTCCCTACCTTTCGGCAGCGAGGATTAGGACAGCTGAACCTCTTCACGTCACTGTCCAACAGAGCAGGAAAGCTACAGGAGGGGCACCTAGAGTCAGAACAGCACAAGTGACATTACTTCAAACATTAAAGCCTGATTTGGTTCCAGCTCCAAATGGCTGTTCATATGAAGATGGGAGTTTTGAGCTGGACATTCACATCCCTTTTACATTCCTTAGTTTTCCTTAAAACACAGACTGAGCCTCTTCTTTGTGCTGGTTTTTATCAGGAAACATAAGCACCACTCAAAGTCCTAACTCAGTACAAACCACTCAATAAACAAGGCCCAACATTAATGAAAACTCTTTGCATATACAAATTTCCCTCTAGCCCAGGGCACCATGATTATATCTATGGGCCAGAAGATTAGGGGGTGCCAAGATATGTAGACAGAAGTTTGAGCTGCAGGCCAGGCATGGTGGCTCACATCTGTAGCCCCAGCACTTAGGAAGGCTGAGGTGGGCGGATCAAGGTCAGGGGTTTGAGACCAGCCTGGCCAACATGGTGAAACCGCCTCTACTAAAAATTCAAAAATTAGCCGGATGTGGTGGCGCATGCCTGTAATCCAGGCTATGGGAGGCTGAGGCATGAGTCTGCACCTAGGAGGCAGAGGTTGTAGTGAGCTGAGATCATACCACTGCACTCCAGACTGGGCAACAGAATGAGACTCTGTCTCAAAAAAAAAAAAGTAAGTTTGAGCTGCACATTTTTCCATTTATAGAATTACTGGTTACTCAATGGTTTTGAGGTGTAAAAAATTAAAAAAATATTACTGATAATCTTATTTCTCAGCAAGAAATACCAAGAAACCTGGAAGACACACACAATTCTCATCATCTGATGCAAGTGCCCAGGTAGTTTTCACATTGGGGAAGGGTTGGCAGATGGCACACTCTGCCTGAGAACCAACCTGACGAGCTCGTCAGCGTAGGCTGCTGCAACCTCCTCCTCAGCTTTTCGCTCATAATACTTATACAGGATGGTCTGGGGGAGCACCTTCTCCAGCTCACTAGTTGGGAACGAACACGTGCAGCTGCCTTCCATGCAGCTGAGCTCCGACTAGAATAGGGTGAACAAGCAAAGAAAAAAAATCAATGCCATTTATAGAAAAATAAAAAGCATCAGTGGTAAAAACACAGATCCTGAGACAGCAAGCAGAACAAAGATATCTTTGCCTGCTCTTCTCTGAGAAATCACACTTAAATCAAGGAAACCATGAAACAAAAATCCAGTACATCTTTGATATCACTAGATGGCCTCTATCAGCCCAAATCACAATCCATAAAGATGGAAAGTGGAGGAAGGGTAAATGACTTAGCAGACCAGACAGAGAAGTTCACAACTTAGCGTCTAAAAAGGAGATGTTGGGGAGCAGTTGTTCCCCTCTACAGATACTAGAAAGCTGGAGACCTTCTGGAAGGCAGAGCTGAGTGGTGGGAGGGGTAGAGACAACGTAATAAGCTGACAACAGGAAGATGGGTGAAGCCTCTAGTTCCTACCCGCTTCAGAAGGAATTGGCAGACTCTGAGAGAAAGGAAGAACATTTCCTGAGCAACTGGACCACAAGGCTCTGGCCTGGGAACCAGTCACAGAGGAAAGCAGAGCTGAAGGGTGGCCTGAAGTCAGAGCCTGAAATGAAGTCTGCAAAATGAACAGACAATTCTCCAGCTCCTTCCTCCCACTTAGTTCCAGAATGTGGGAAAACAGGCCCACACCCACTATGCAGGAGGCAGACTGAACTACCACAGGGAAGAGACTGAAGGGTCATTCAGGTTCGTAACATAAAAGCTAACTGGCTCCTAGGCACCTAGAGTCAAACTCACTGGTTTATAAGCCCCACTACTCACACAGCTTTCAAACAGCTCTGTAACATGAATAAAAAGCGTCAGACATAAGAAATGCTTCCCACGAAAGACAGACACCAAAGAAAACAAACTGAAAAAAACAACAGTGAAAAATAACTAGTAAAAATGAAGCATTTACCATGTGTCAAAGAATAAGTTCTTTAAATCCATCACCTCATTTAGCTTTCAAAACAATGCTATGATTATTTCCATTTTTCAGAGGAAGAAACAGGCATAAGGAATTTAATTTGCTCAAGATCACAGAGCTGGTATGGTCAGGGTGGGCATGGTCCAACACATGCTACTTGACTCCAAAGGTCATGCTCTTTGAAAAAAACAAAAACTTTAATTTTTTGAGAACTGAGTCCTGCCCTGTCACCCAGGTTGGAGTGCAGTGGCGTGATCTTAGCTCACTGCAACCTCTGCCTCCCAGATTCAAGCAATTCTCCTGCCTCAGTCTCCCAAGTAGCTGAAACTACAGGTGTGCGCCACTGTGCCAGGCTAATTTATGTATTTTTACTTGATATGGGGTTTCACCAACTTGGCCAGGCTAGTCTTGAACTCCTGATCCTGTGATCTAGCCACCTTGGCCTCCCAAAGTGCTGGGACTACAGGCATGAGCCACTGTGCTCAGCCAGAAACTTTATTTTGAAATAATGTTAAACTTATAAAAAGTCACAAAAATAGTACAGAGTTCCTGTATCCTCCTCATCTACCTACCTTAATGTTAACATCTTTTTTTTTCTTATTTTTCCCTAGACAGAGTCTTGCTCTATTACCCAGGCTGGAGTGCAGTGGTGCAATCCACCTCACTCCAACCTCTGTTTCCGGAGTTCAGGCAGTTATCCTGCCTCCCCAGTAGCTGGGATTACAGATGCCTGCTATCACACCTGGCTAATTTCTGTATATTTAGCAGAGATGGGGTTTCACCAGGTTGGTCAGACTGGTCTCGAACTGCTGACCTCGTGATCCGCCCACCTTAGCCTCCCAAAGTGCTGGGATTACAGGTGTGAGCCACTGCTCCTGGCCCCTAATGTTAACATCTTATGTCAAAACCAGGAAGTTGACAGTGGCTTGATACCATTAATGGGATGAGTTTTTCCACTAATGTCTTTTCTTCTAGCCCAGGATCCCACAAGGCATCTAATCATCATTTCTCACCAGTCTTTTCTAACTTGAGTTTCTCAGTATTTCTTGGTCTTTTACAGCTCTGACACTTTTGAAAAGTACTGGCCAGTAAGTTTGTAGAATGCCTCTCAATTTGATTTGTCTCATTATTAGACCTAAGATAGGCATTTTATGGTAAGTTCTCAGCATACCTAGTCAGACAAATGTCAATGTGTCTTATGTATGGCTGGGGATGTAAAAAGGCCCTCAGCTTTTTGAGATGGGGTCTTAACTCTGTTGCCCAGGTTGGAATGTAGTGGCTCCCATCTCAGCCTCCTGAGTAGCTACACTACAGATGTGCACACCACCATGCCAAGGTAATTTTTGTATTTTTTTGTAGAGACGGGATTTCAGCGTGTTCCCTAGGCTGGTCTCAACTCCTGGGCTCAAGTGATCTGCCCTCCTGGGCCTCCCAAAGAGCTGGGATTACAGGTGTAAGCCACTGCACCAAAAGGCCATCTTCTTTTTTTTTCTTTTGGAGACAGAGTCTCTCTCTGTCACCCAGGCTGGAATGCAGTGGTGCCATCTTGGCTCACCGCAGTCTCTGCCTCCCGGGTTCAAGTGATTCTTGTGCCTCAACCACCTAAGGAGCTGGGATTATAGGTGTACAACACCTTGCCTGGCTAATTTATTTTTAGTAGAAACAAGGTTTTGCATGTTGGCCAGGCTGGCCTTGAACTCCTGAACTCAAGTGATCAACCTGCCTCAGCCTCCCAAAAAAAGTCATCTTCTTAATCACTGTGTTGGTTTTCTATAGCTGCTGGAACAAAATACCATAAACTTAGTGGTATAAAACAATGTAAAACTGCCATACTCTGTTATGCTGGTGTCCAGAGACACTGACTTTGGAGGGAAAAATATGATCTAGTATAAAGTTATGTTCATTTAATATATATTTAACCCAATAGGCTGCAAGGTTTTCTCTCTTTGAGTTAACCTTCACCTTGATTATGAATAAGATGATGAGTGAAATGGGTGTTCCTTTTGGGCTAGGCATGGGGGCATGGAAGAATTCTACCATTCCGTGGGAAGAAATCTGCTGTGCTTAGAGAATCAACATAATCACGCAAATCAGGTAATGCACACATAAGTGTACCAACAGAATTCCACCTTACCCTGAAAGAGGCACTTACACTTATCTATCAACATAGTCTCCTCAGACTCCAGGAATGTGTCCTACATACATGGGACATATTACACAATTCTTACCTTTCCAGATCCAAAGACTGCCTCTTGGGCATATCTGATGAGACATTCTTTGCAGAACAAGTGAGCATCTGCACACTGCGTCAGCTCCTCAAATGGAAATTCCCCATAGCAGCAGCGGCACTCAATTAGCTGGCCGTCCTGCAAGCAGTCAAAAAACATACATGAAATGTCCTGCACTCAAGCAGAGAGGGAGCCTTGTCTCCCATCCTCACCTCTCTCCCATCTCCCGCACAAATTCTGAGGTAAAAAGCAATACATTTTAGGGGCCATAAAACAATGATACGCTGTTACATGCCTTATAAATCTAGCTCAAGAAACTAGCACAATATTAATCCATACCTAAAGACAGAGAGGTTTTTATGAGTTTTTTTTGGGTATTCTTCAGGGTAATTCTTTGTATAAAGTTATCATATTCAATTCCACGGTGCAAAGAGAACTACATCTGTACTCAGATGTGAATGTGGTT